AAAAGAGACGAAAAAGGATAAAAGTTGGAAAATTTGGATAGTCTGGGGCAATTTCTTTTAAGGGCAGTACAACAGATGGACACGGATGTGAGGGGGGAACTTCGAGATTGCTATAGGGACGAGTTAGAAAGGGGAGATAGGACCATGGAGAGGGTAGGCTACCCCTATAACGGTTGAAGAGCGAATGCAAGAAGGAGAGGAATAGAAGTATTGACGGTTGTTGGTGGTTTGGATTTTCTCAACCTAGTTACTACGCTTGGGTGTGAGATTTGGGGCCTGAGAGGCTGCTAGAATGACCTCCCCCGCACCTTGTCCTCACTAGGGCCCTTCTGCTGTGTGACTGGGTGCTGCCAGTAAGCTTCCCGGCCAGCCAAAGCCCCATAGGAAGGCAATGTTTTTGGTGGGGTGCTGGTTCGTAGCAGCCCCTCCCCTGAGTAGGTGACTCGTACTGCAAGGGTTGGGCTGACTCTTTTTCAGTTCTGTCCTTTTGGTTCTTTTTCCTTGTACTCATGCTTGCCGGTGATAAGCAACAGGACTGATGGCCACCATAATAAAACGGGCTTAGGTGATTAAAAAAGAAAACGAAGAAAACCCGAAAAGTTCAAGAGCACTTTCCATTCTTCTTGTCGTCTGTCCTTCCTGTCAGCTGTTTCTCTCAAGTTTGCTCACAAATATGCTGCTGGACCGTGCTGGAACGGTTTTCACCTTTGCAGTAGCAGATGCAGATCCCAGGGCTCGATCCCAAGACCTCACCTTACCCGTGTATAGTACCCCTGTGTGTTTGTACGCGTGACCTGCGTTTTAGGAGTCAGTTGTTGTCTGTCATAGGTCGATGTAGCTGTCGGGTCTTGAACCATAGGTCTGTCGAGTAGGGGTCATATTTGTGTAGAGGTCGTATAGCTGCTACAGTCCCGAAAGGTCCAGGTCGTAGCTGCTACAGGTCCGGAAGGCCAAGTCCGCAGGCTTCCGGAGGGTCCGGAAGTGGCCTTTCGAACGTAGCTCACAGCAGACCAGAGGCAAGTGGGCAAGTGGTGAGTCCAACCTTGCTTAGTCAGCGGTACCCAGTCCCAGTCGCACTTAGTCCAGTCAGCAAGTACCATGTGGGACTGTGTGCACCAAGGGCCCGGTGGAAAGGGGGCAGACCAGCGACCAACAGAAGTATAAGTCAAGAGGCAGCGTCCAGCCATTCATTCATTCCTGCGTGAGCCATGCAGAAGCACTGCCCAGGTGACTTGTGCGAGGTGGTCGGCAGATGCCCGAAGTCGAAGTGGGCTGAAGGAAGGAGATAGCGTCCAGTGTTAGTGGTAGCGAGCGGCCATAGCCGCCATCGGTTAGAGTTAGTGTGCTAGTGAGTGAGTGAGTGTGTGTGAAGTACAGAGTGAGTGCGTGTGGGATATCCAGGGAGATCAGAGGTAAGTGTGTGAAAACAGTTGATGTAAACACTGAGTTGATGTGTGAAGTGAAGGCGCTCAGTCGCCATAGCCAATCTGAAGCAAGTTTGTATCTGAATCGTGTGGGCGCCCAGCGCCAGTGTGTTTTGCCATCTGTTGCATGCATGTGAAGTGAGAAGAAAGCGAGTCTGATTTCAGGTCCATTACTGTGCACAGATATCAACGTGTGCGTATCTATCAGCCTCCTGATGAGTCAGTGAATCTCCGATGAAATGGTCTGTCCCATCGCCTCGTTTTTTATCCACTTCTGCCTCTCTGCCTATGGTTTACCCGGGAAGTTCTGTTTGACACTATTTTACACATACATATTGCAACAAAACATACGGGCATAATGGGGACTAGATGGGTGATGACAAGGAAGACCAAATCGAGAGTTCTCAACACAGTGGTTGCCATGATGGCTGTCATCAAAACCATGCCCACAAAATACATGTCAAATGGAATGTCGGTTGGAGGCCGGGATGAAAGAACGATGGACATTACAAGTGAGCATGTATTTGTTGTGGCATCGAAGAGCAAGTAGAGGCGAGGGGAGATGGGAGTCATGGGACTCAAGAGAGAGACGCAATGTGATGGGCATCACAAATGATTATGCATTTGCTGTGGCATCGAGTAGTAAGTGGAGGCGAAGGGAGATAGGACTGAAGAGAGAGGGGGACGTGACAGCAACTGCTGTGTTGGGCTCTTGCCCCCCCATTGGATACCTTGGAAAGAAGCTCAAGTGAGATCTTGTATGGTGTGTTCATTTCAGGTCTTCGGGACTGACTAGATTACCCTTCCTGTTTCAGGGATGAAGGTGCCACGATTTTCCCCTGGTTGTCCACGTGTCAGAACTTTCTTTGGACGCGGTGCACTCTACGTCTTCTTCACAAGCTGGATGTAAGATGCGCTATTGGCTATACTCTCTCTGGGAGGGGTTATTAAGTGATAAATAGTAGTAGTAGTAGTAGTAGTAGTAGTAGTAGTAGTAGTAGTAGGAGGAGGAGGAGGAGTGGGAGAGGAAGAATAAGGGGAGAAGAATGCGGAAATGATGGAGTGAGCTTAGCTGGCTAGGTCGATGTTTGGTGGTGGGGAGAGTGAGAGAGAGAGAGGAGGAGAAATGGAAGAAGGGGAGAAGAATTTGGAAATGACGGAGTTAGCTTAGCTGGATTAGGTGGATATGTGGTGGTGGTGGCCTGGGGACGGGGATATTTATATTATATATATATATATACACACAGAGAGAGAGAGAGAGAGAGAGAGAGAGAGAGAGAGAGAGAGAGAGAGAGAGAGAGAGAGAGAGAGAGAGAGAGNAGAGAGAGAGAGAGAGAGAGAGAGAGAGAGAGAGAGAGAGAGAGAGAGAGAGAGAGAGAGAGAGTGTTACATGCCCAGTTGGGCGATGTACATATATAACCAAGGATCCGCAATGTGATAAAAAGGACTGAACAGACAATGCAGTGCTAGTGAAACCTCAACAAGCAGTGTACATCCTGATACGTACAAAAATGGTGCTTTATATCGCAGTGGAAGACTTCGATATAAGCCCTGACCTGACCGGGACTGACCTCTCTCACGTAGTATAAGGCAGCGCAGCAGAATGCTAGAATACCAATGACTAGCCCAATCAATGTCGCAATACAGACAAAACATGCATCATCCTTATCACAAGGTGGGAAGGGGCCTGGCGCTATACACAGGAAGAAGGCGCCAGGTCCAGACCATACACAGACGAGGAGGAGGGCATCAGACGAAGAAGAGAGGGGAGATGGGAATGTCGTTAACACCAAGTCTTCGGTGCAAGTCCCAGATGATCCCTCATCAAATGTCTGAAGTCCAATGTCGAATCTGGATCCAAATGTCACCAAGCTCTCTCTCTCTCTCTCTCTCTCTCTCTCTCTCTCTCTCTCTCTTAGTCTGCTGATGCAGTGAAGTCAGGTAGCGAGAGGGTGAGAGGAAGATGAGGGACCGAGAAGAGGAAGAAGGAGAACTCTCTCTCTCTCTCTCTCTCTCTCTCTCTCGTGCCAGGTACTAACCTGTGAAGATGGTACTGTGCTGCAGGTACCTCCAAGACGAAGCTGGAGCTATGGCACTGCAGGTAAGTCTCCCTGGCCTCCGCCCAATCTCTCTCTCTCCAGTACCACTCTAGCTCCTACCAGCGCCCAGCGCTGAAGGCTACTGCTAACGCTACTACTACTACTACTGCAGCGATCCTCCAGAGAACTGCTGCCGAATCCTGAAGACTACCTCCAGCCTCCTGAACTGCACGTGAAGTGCCTGGGAAGTACCTAGGAACTACCTGCAGCCTGCAGGGCGGGCCAGTCCTATATAGTGCTGGCTCGTCCAGGAGGCTGCTCTTGCCAATGCCAAAACGTGCCAGACCCTGGCGTTGAGGTTCAACAAAAGGTTATCTTGAAAACAGGCCCAAAATGGCCTGTGCTAAAACCCTGGTCTGGTGCTCAAGTTTCAGGGCAGGTCGATCTTATGAGGGCCTGAAAATGGCCCTCCGTTTCAGGCTGAAAAGACTCAGGGCCTGGAGGGCCCTGTTTTAGGCTGAAACGACACAGGGCCTGTAGGCCCTTGTTTTCAGACTTTCAGGCTGAAAACAACACGGGGCCTGTAGGCCCTTGTTTTCAGGCTTTCAGGCTGAAAACAACACGGGGCCTGTAGGCCCTTGTTTTCAGGCTTTCAGGCTGAAAACAACATGGGGCCTGTAGGCCCTTGTTTTCAGGCTTTCAGTCTGAAAACAACAAGGGCCTGAAAATGGCCCGTGCAGCCTGTTGCAGGCGCAGCATGTAACACACACACACACACACACACACAGAGAGAGAGAGAGAGAGANATGTAACACACACACACACACACACACACAGAGAGAGAGAGAGAGAGAGAGAGAGAGAGAGAGAGAGAGAGAGAGAGAGAGAGAGAGAGAGAAGGGAAGAAGAATGTGGAAATGACGGAGGGAGTGAGCTAAGCTGGGATAGGTGGATTTATGGTGCACTGGAAGACTTGGGAACAAACCAGTTCAGACATGAAAATAGAAAAACGTGAGGCCTGAATAAATCTGTAGAGCCTGACACGTGCCATGTGGTTTTGACAAGTGACTGCTAGGGTCCACCAGCATCCCATCGGTGGTGTAGATCATTGACCACCAGTGTGGACCATCAGGGATGGCAAGGTCCTGTTGTTTCAATTGGTGGTGCGAGTATTGGGCAGCCCATGTCAATGGGTAGCATGACAGTACAGAAGCACTTCGGTAAGCAAGTTGAGCTTGGCTGCTCTGCTGATTGCACTTAATGAGGGAACATCCCTATTCAGAAAGTAGAGTAGCATTCTTGGGGAGTTCTTTTGGGCCAGATGACTCAGCAGAGTATTGATTGTTCTCTCTGGAAGCACCTTTGGTGAGTGTGCTCTTTGGACTTGCTTACAGGACAGCCAAGGAGGAAATGCGTGTGTGCTTCTGGAGCCTTTTACTTGCTGTGCAATGCTGAGTGAACAGGTTCAGGTACACGAGCTGCATCCCCTGCTGTTGATTGTTGAATAAGCTTTCTCTATGATTTGTTGATGTAACAGGAGGACACAAAGCTCTACATTTTCTTGGAATGTGTATCAAAGGGTTCAATCCAGAATGTTTTGTCGCTATACAGCCGTCTCGACGAAAGCCAGATTCGGAATTACACTCGGCAGATTCTGGAAGGGATCAAGTACCTGCATGAACATGACACGATCCACAGGTCTGTATTCTCATTTTTCTCAATTGTTATTGCTTTGCTCTTTGTCAGCATTTATGGTAGTGGTTCTTGTGTGCTGGAATAGGGAATGATGATGTAAAAGTTGATGGGAGTATGGAGTGCATGAGTAGGCATTACTCAGCAATATGGTTGCATGTGTGCCTTTTGCGGGTGGCAGCAATCATGGGATGAACAACTGTATGGTATAGGTTATTTGTGGAGCGCACAAACAGTTTTGTTTTTGCTCTCCCTTTCTTTCTTTCCTTTTTTTTTCTATGAGGAAAAATTGAAAATTGCATTCCAAAGCTAAATAGAGGCTGGGAACCTCACAATTCAACCCGGGGTTATCCTGGGAGACTTACCCAGTTTCGCTTACGAGCCTCCACTCGCGACAGAATCCGATCTGTCCCAGACTTTCTACTCATCCTCTATCCCGATGTATCCTACCAAAAACCATTTCTTAAACCCTAAACCCCTGGGGTACGGTTCATGCCTGCCCCTCTATCCCGATGTATCCTACCAAAAAACATATCTTAACCCCTAAAATCCTGGGGTCCAGCTCGTGCCTGCCTCTCTCAGCTGTAAGGCTGTCAGCTTGGCTTATTTAGCAAGAGCAGGGTAAAGCGTTTGGGGGACCATGAGTTTCTTTCCTTATTACTACTCACTTCTTGAGCCCCGTGATTCCGTAGGTGCGTCAAGTGCTGGCAAGGGCCTGTCTTGCGGCTGTGAGTGTCTGAGAGACGATTGACATACGGTCGTCGTGGAGCTGTTGGCCCGTCAAGGTTCCCCAGGCGAGCCTGAGAGTGTTGCTCATTATGGTCCCCAACCTGCCGTTGCCTAGCACCTCCTTTTGAACTTGTCAATGATGTCTTGTTGATGGTACTCGGCGAGGTCGTTTTGTACGAGGCCCTCCCAAGCTTCCGCCAGTGATACGGGCTGTTTGGCAATTGTGTGCTTGCAGCGCTTCTTCCAAATCGCCCGTAGTGTGAGGGGGCGGAGTCTTCGGTAGAGTGTACGTTGCCACCTCTCCTGCAAACCCGGTTCTTTAAGTCCTGTAAGCGTGAGCACCGTGTCGTCTGGCAGGGGGGCAGATGCGGCTGCTTCCCAAAGGTTTGCCGATCTAGCTCTTAGTTGTGCTGCCGACGGGCAGGTTAGTAAGCAGTGTGGAAGGTCTTCTGGAGTGCCCTCAACGCAGAGTGCGCAGATCTCATCGTCGGTCCGGGCATCTGGGGATTGGCGTCTGCTGATCCATTGGTTAACCGGAAGTGCATAGTAGTAAATCACCCACTGCATCCTTCTTACTTTCGTGTTTTTGATGGACAGTGGTACTTGCCAGGTTATTGTGGTGCGGCTTCCTATTCCCCTGGTGAAGTGCTTATCCCAGCGTTGTGCGAGTATCTGCTGTGTGTTAACTGAACGTCTTCTCAGCCTGTAGCCCAGCCTGGTAGTATAGTCTAGGATATTGGTACGGCAACCCACCATTGGAGTGCTGGAAGACGTTTTCCAGGCCCATTCTGTCGGGTCGAACTCCAGGTTTTGTATGGTCGTTGTCGGGGCATAGATTCTGTATTGTTCGTCCTTGACCACTCGCGCTTTTTTTCGTAAATGTGGTTTGGCCGAGACCCTGACGCGGACAACTTGGGAGACCGTGCTCACTATATGGCCTGGTGTTGTATATGGTACAAAGCGCCCACTGGTCTGAGGGGGCTTCCTTTCTGACGAAGGACATCACCTCTGTCGGAGGGTCTTCCCAGGTCCAGGTCGCCCAGTCCCCCTTCTTCCATTCAGCCAGTCTTTGGAGCAGCTGTAGCCATTCCGGGGGAACTGATGCCAGCACGTCGTTGAGATTTGTCTGCAAGGCGTGGCACCCCTTGAGCGTCTCTCTGAGTTCTCTGAGTGTTTTCCATCTGTCTTGTTGGTGGTTCCAGAGATGTTTGATCTGCCACCAGGTGATCCACCGGGTGTCCTGGGTCACGAGTGTTCATGGTTTGCCTGTCTGGTCCTTCATCCACTGATTGCAAAACAGGGGCTTACGTAATACCTCTTCTCGGTTTGCTGGTTCTCGGACCTTGGCCGGGAAGATCTCCCTCCATGACTATGTGAGAGAGGTCGGTTCTTGTTCTTGGTTGTTCCTCTGTTCTTATTGCTGTTGATGTTCCTGTTGAAGGGGTCCCTGTTGTCTGGGGGTCCTGTGGCGAGCCTACCAAGATTTGGCCATCAGCCAGAACAGTCCGTACATGTTCGAGAGTGTGCTGGTGTTGCATACCGTAATGGTATAGACCAGAACAAGAACCGACCTCTCTCACATAGTACAGGCTAAAATACCAATGATCTGACGAATCAATGTCGCAATGCAGACCAAACGTACATCATCATCAGCATATGGTGTTAAGGAGAGGAAGAATGCGCCAGTCCCCAACCATACACAGACCAACAGGAGGGGGATTAGACGAAGAAGAGGGGGAAGATGGGAATGTCATCAACACCAAGTCTTCGGTACAGGTCCCAAATAATCCCTCGTCCAATGTCTCGATCCCAATGTCGAGTCTGAATCCAAATGTCATCAAATCTCGAAATCGTAAATCTCTCTCTCTCTCTCTCTCTCTCTCTGTAGGTGTTGACACGTCAGGTAGCAAGAGGGTGAGGGAGAGATGGTGGGCTTAGAGGAGGAGGAAGATCAACTCTCTCTCTCTCTTGTACGAAGCACTAACCTCTGAAGGTGGCGCCTTGTTGCAGGTACATCGAAGACGAAGCTGGAGCTATGGCGCCATAGGTAAGTCTCCCTGGCCTCTGCCATCTCTCTCTCTCTCTCTCTCTCTCTCTCTCTCTCTCTCTCTCTCTCTCTCTCTCTTAACGCTACTCTAAGCTCCTACATCGCCCAGTGCTGAAGACTACACCTAGCACTAGCTACTAGTACTGCAGCGGTCCTCCAGAGTGCTGCGGCCGAATCATGAAGACTGCCTCCTGAATGGCCGGTGAAGTGCCTGTGAAATCCCCGTGAACTGCCTGCAGCCTGCAGGTTGGACCAGTACTGTATAGTGCTGGTCTGGGAGGCTGCTCTTGCCCATGCCGAACCGTGCCAGACCCTGGCATTGAAGTTCAGGCAGACGACGTACTAACCTTTCTTTTTCTCTTTGGGGGGTTGACTTTATGAGGGCCTGCGCTAAACCTTGGTCTCGCGCCTAAGTTTCAGGCAGGTCGACTTTATGAGGGCCTGAAAATGGCCCTCCTTTTCAGGCTTTCAGGCTGAAATGACACAGGGCCTGGAGGGCCCTTAATTTCCGTCTGGTCGGGGCCTGCAGGCTTGTGTGGATGCGCAGTATGCCACCCCCCCCCCCTCCTTGAAAGACCGAGCTTACCTGCAAGGGCGAAGCTGCCTGTCGGAGGGAGGGACCAAAGTCCGGGTGGGAGGGGCAGGTCGTGAAGCTTCCTTAGCTAGTCTTTGTCGTTCGTAGTGAGCGTAGATCAGCGGTGCAGATGCTTGCAAATCCGCTCGTGAAATCCATCGAGTGTCGTCAAGATCGCATGCTTTGAAGGTAACTTTCTACTGTCGAGGTTTGTTGTCATACTTGCGATCCGTGATGACGCGGTCGACTTCCTGATGACCATCCATAGACGGAGGGTCTTGCGATCGTCGGCCCAGGAAGTTGTCGCTCTTAGCTGGTGTGTATGTTGCCAACTTCGAGGCGTGAAAGATTGGATGGACCGGCAGATGTAGAGGGATGTCGATCACAAAGGATGGGCCGTCGGGCTCGTCGCCTACCGGTGAAAGGACGGTCCACTTGGGGAGTAGTTTGCGTGAAACATCATGTTCGAGCGCAAACTCTTCCGCGGTGACCCAAACCAGATCGCCGGTGCAAATGGGACATGGTACGCAACACCTGTTGGCTTGCTGTTGCATGCGGACTTGAGCCTTTTGCATGTTCGCACGGGCTTGAGCCAACAATTCTCTGTACTTCCGGACGGACGCGGGAGAGCAAGCGGCGTCTATGTCGGCTGTTCGTGGAAGGAGAAGATCAGCGAAGATACGGCCTTTCCGGCTACCATGGTGCAACTTGAATGGAGTCACGCCGATCGCCGGATGCAACGAAGTGTTGTAGGCGAACTCAATGTCGGGAAGGCGGTCAACCCAATCCTTCTGATCCGGACAAATGAACGTACGAAGCATCATTTGAGCTGTGCCCGCTCCGTTTGCCCATTCGTTTGTGGATATCAAGCCGAACTTGGTTTCATTTCGGTGCCCGATTCCTGCATGAGAGAAGTCAGAATGCCGACATCAAATGAGTGTCACGGTCGCTAAGGATGTCTTCCAGTACGGCGTGGTTGCAAATCCAGCCGGTGTGCAAGAGGCGAGCAAGTTCGGGAGTCGCGGCGAAGTACTTGCAAGGGAGAAATCAATCGCGGTTATTTACTAAATCGGTCAATGACCGCGAGGATGTGGTCATGCCCGAAGCGGTCGCGGGGACGTCCATGGCAATGGAGAGGCCGGGTTCCCGTGGAATAGGCAACAAGCACAACTCGCCAGAAGGATTGCGGTTGTGGGGCTTGCTTCGTCGGCAAACTTCGGTAACGAGGTCAGGCCACCCAAATCGTTGCCGAAGTCGTGCGATAGTCCGATTGACTCCGAAATGGCCGGTAAGTCGGTACTCGCTGAGAAGGCGAGTCCGAAGACAACGGCCGCATGGGACACACAATAAGTCCTTGCGTCGTGAGTGGAGAAGCAAGTACCCGTTGACGATGCGATAATGGCTGGCTGGCGGGTGATCCGAAGATACCTGTGCATAGAGTGTGGCACAATCCGGATCAGACTCGTAGCCCGGGATGAAGTGCCGCTGGAGTTCCTCGTCGAACGCGAATGCATGATGTCTCATAGCGGAAAGATCAGGTCTTCACAAATGTGCATCTGCTGCGCGATTGGAGAGGCCGGCGAGATGTTTCGGTGTGAAGTCAAATTGGTCGATGAAGTACATCCATCGTTCGATCATGCTGCTCACCGTATCTTGCGTCTTGTAGTAGGTCAACGGGTTGTTATCAATGACCCATGTGAACCTATGATGCCCAAGGAGGAAGTGCTGCCATCGCTTGAGAGCCATCACAAACGCAAGCAGCTCCTTCTTCCTTGCATCATCAAGTGAATTCATGGGAGGCACCTTGT